TTCCCCATTTTCTCCTCATTCTCCCTCAACCATCCTTCCAACACATCACTATTCATCAAAACTATCTGCAATTGTTGCTCCAACCCCTCCTTTTCATCCTGCATTTCTTTCAATCCTTTTCCTAATTCCTCCTCACGCTTCCTCAACACTGCTTGAGCACTAAACAGTCCTTCCAATTCTGCCTCCCGTGTCTTCCTCAACTCCCTAATATCACCATTCAAGCTTTCCACGAGCTTATTTATAGCATTTTTTTTAAAAACCTCAGCAGGATCGTCCATTATCCTTCCCGAACCGTAAACACTCCCAGTCCCATAAGGTGGAGGTGGAGTTGAAGTTGGAGTAGGTGTAGGTGAAGGCGAATAGACCCTAGGAGGTATTGCTGGCCGAGCTACAGCAGACCCCACTGACGAATTTACACTGGAAAAATTATTACTAGCATAATTAGGGCTGGGGTTAGGATTTGAGGGCTTGCGCTGCGAATAGAGTGGCGGATCCCGGCCAAAAAAGTGACACAAATTCCGAGCCAATTCTACAATATTAGAACTTGGGTAAACCCAATTCTGAATATAGGGAATTGAAACCACGCCGTTGGGTGAAACAAACTGGTGGGGGCGTTTGATGATCATATCACGGGTGGGGTTGACAAAAACTAGCGGCGCGTGGCGGGGGTATGACTCCGTGAGCCAGATAGCAACCGGAATATTGTAAGTAACACCCTGGAAGAGCATCGGCACCGTTCCATCGGCCTGAAGAAGATTGACCGTGCGGCCGTCGTTGTGCGTAAACGTGGCAGTCTTCGGCTGCAGCGAGGGGTATGCCTCCGTCAGAGATACCAAATGCTGGCGGATAAACCACTTGACATCCTCCGCGTACGGGAGCGCTGCCGGACCCCGCTGCGATAGGACGCTACTAAGAAATTGTTGCGTGTATTGAGCCATTGAATATGCAAAAAGAGGAAGGAAAACTGTATCTATATGTGTACGTATATGTCTGGTTATACAAATCTAATGAGGACGATTTACTTGGAGAAGGAAAGGAGAATTACAGTGTTAAGAAATTGAATGGCCGTTTGAAGGATCTGATAAATTAGGGAATATTTGAAACCAAATTGACATTGACTTCCTCGACTGTAATATTCGTGGAAATTGGAGATGGTTGCTTGCGCTGGGAGTTTACGTGTCCTTCTCTTAAGAGAGGACTTGCTATTTCATTTTATTTTCCTGAAACGAATCGAGTCCATTGTATAGGGCACTCGTATTCTCACACGGTCATTTGCCGTGCTCAGCGTTTTCACATCTTCATATTGTGAACTCTTGTCTTCAAGTAATGAAAAACGGTTATTTGAATGTTAAATGGTCACGTGTAAGATTTGCATTTTAATCGGAACCCTCGATTTCTCGAATCTGAGAACCGATCAAATTGAGTTGGTTCTTGATTCTTAAACTAAAATTGTGGTGCCTAACTGTGAAACTTGTCATTTTTATAACATTTTTGTTTTTTTACAATTTATTCAACTTGACACATTGATCCATTCTAACAAATAGCAAGTTTGTAAATCTCAAGTATTAAGTACTATAATATATCAGATTTATTCATTTGAATATTTGAATCATGTTGCTTTTATAGGTGATATTTGACGGATATTTGTGTTAAATTAAGAAAGCGTTGAAATGTGTATTTTGTTACATGCTTTATTTCTTTAATTTTTATTAGATATTTATATTGTTATCTCACAATTTTTTAACAAAAATTTACGGGTACAACTGATATTATCAAAATCGATGGTTTGGATTCAAATTCGGATTTTGTTTCAATAATTAAATGGGTTTTGCTAGTGGTACCTACGGGATGTACCTAAAGGGTTACACCCCCCGACATGGGAATAAGACCCACTTAAATAAGAAAAATATTTTATATAAGTGGGTCTCACCCCCATGTGAGGGGGTATAATCCCTTAGATACATCTTTTGATGTATCACTAGCAAAATCCTAATTAAATGAAATAGTATTGTCCCATTTATGAAATATCCGAAGAAATTGGTGGTTCGGAGTATTTAAATATCCGGACGATCCACCGACGATCAAGCCTAATCATGTGATACAGACGTAATGTCGGACTGAAAAGATAAAATTGTCAACAAGATTTTTCATTTCAAGACAATCTAAATAGTAACTTCCGCTTCCATTTAGAAATTCAAATTTGATAAAAGTTTCGAGTGTTCATGATATATATCTACTTGCTTCGATCCATCTCGACATTACGTAAATGTTATGTGGTTATTTAACATTGAAAGATACGTTTTTAGTTAGGTATATACATATGTCCCACGATTTTAAAAGGACGGGACATAGGTGCAATAAATGATAGGTTAGTAACATTAGTCACACGCTCAAAAAAGGTTGAGGACTTCGGTGGAATTTTTTAATTTACCCTAAAATTTATGTATAAAAGTTGAACATTGTTACATCTTTCTATATATAAAAAGTGCCTATCTAACGAAATTTGTTGGTTTAACGGAAAAACTAACGGAATTTGTTGTTTTAACGGATTATATAACGGAATTTCTTGTTTTAAACAGGCAGCAGCACCTTCTATCAGTGTTTTTATCATAACTTTGTATTCCGATGTTCGATTGAGGCGATTCAAAATGCGTTGGAAAGCTAACCCGTATAGCTACAACTTTGATTCAGACATCATTCTTCAATTCGATCACTTTCTATACCAAAA